GCTATAAGGTCCATGTTCTCAAAATGCGCGATGTTCTCCCGCCATCAATCCAATCGAAATGCTCCTTCCGCTCCCCCCTCATCGCATCCCCACAGTTGTATCAACAGCCGCACGGAGCACAGTAAATCCGTTAAATCACGCGTTGCCACGTGTGCAACCTCCCGCTCTCAATCTGTCCCGTCCCGTCAATCACGCCCCACTCACGCACGCTCGCGCCTCTTTTTTTCGCCACTCGCTCCGCTCCGCGTACCCATCTGTCGCTCGCTTCGCCAAACCTGCCTTTGCGCATCCGTGCATGATACATTTGCCATAGCTTGCATCGCATTCTCTCGACATATGCACCCCACTTAGCAACGGAACAGGCCGACAACCCTCGTCTCAAGAGGCTTGCCGATGCTTCTCAGAATGATCTCCCAAGACCACTAGACGACTGGTGCATCAGCGGAACTGGCGGAAACGGCGGAAACGAACTAGGCCAATGCAGCTTCACCGCGGTAGGATGGCCCGACAACGTTCTAGACCATTCTCTAGATGAATGCACGCACCGCGTCGCGGCCGCCGTTCCGCCTAATGGCCTAGCACTCCCTACCGCTGCCTATTGCCGCGTAACTCCGCCTAATTCCGCCTATCGCCGCCCCGCGACAAGTATTAAGGCGCCTCGAATCTTAAACATCGTGGCCCCGCGCCGCATACCTAGGCCGATCGTTAGGCGCCTCGGATAGAGACTCCTAGGGCTGCCCAGCAAGCCGATCCGTAGGCGCCTCGAGTTTCGAATAAAGTCACCTGCACCGGCCTATCGCCCTCTGATGGCCTAGTGGTAAACCCCCCAACAGCGGTGCCACCACAACCGCGGAATTCGGTCGGCGCAGAATCGGCAAGGTCTCTTGGCGCCGGCCGCGCGTGCAGCGGACTCCGCTTCGTGGACCTTCGTCTCCTCCTCTTTCCCCCCCCCCCCCCCCCCCCCTCTCTACCGCTGCTCCCCAGCATCCCCGCTTCCCCGCGCCCCTCCCAAACCGCCCCCTTCGTGCATTTCCTTCCCCCCTTCCCCCTCCTCTCTCCCTCCCCCTCCACCACCCCCACGGTCCCCCATGGCGTACACGCGATGCCTGTCGCTGCCCGTTATAGCGGGCTTCGCTCTAATCGCGTTCGTCGCGTATACCGTGATCTTCCTCGTCGTGCAACCCTGGCTAGGCCTAATCACCGCCGCGGGCGTCCTTAACGTCGCCGCGTTTTGCGGGTGGACCACCATGATCGTCTTCTCCTACATGCTCTCTATTTTCCGCGATCCGGGATCGGTCCCCGCGCACTACGTTCCCGACGCGGAGGGCGACGCGGAGATTAATGCGGACGGCGACGCGGGGAGATTAGTTCCCGTGTTGGTAGAGGTGAAGCGGAAGGGCGGCGAAGCGCGGTACTGTCAGAAGTGCGGAGCGTACAAGCCGGCGCGCTGCCATCATTGTCGCATCTGCAAGCGCTGCGTCCTGAGAATGGTGCGCGGGAGAGGGGGGAATGTGGGTGGGGGGAGAACTACAGTAGGCCGGGGGGTTGGAAGGCGGGGGAGGGTTGGGGAAAGCGGGGGATGGGAACTGGTTGGGGAAATGGGGGAAAGAGGGTAGGTGGAAAGGGGGGAGAAAGTGGGGGGGGGGAAAAAGGGGAAAGAGAAAGAGTAAAGGGGGAAGAGGGGGAAGGGGTGGGGGGAAAGGGAGAAAGAGAAGGAGAGGGGGAGAAGAAAAGGGGGAGGCGGGAGGGGGAATGGGGAGTGCGGAGTAAGGGGGGGAGACAAGGGGCGCAGATGAGGGAGGGGGATGAACCTCAGCTCATGTCCTCGCTGACGTGGCAATGGGGGAATCGAAGTGTAGCAAGTGTGCTAGGCCGTGCCACGCCATCTTAGGACGTGCAAAACCGTTCATGACATGCCAGACCGTGCCAGGGCCCTGTGCTATGCAATGCGAGGCAATGCGAGGCCGTGCTAGGCCGTGCCAGGCTGTGCTAGGCCGTGTTAATAGCTCTCGTTATGGCTCCCCCATTCCCGGATTCCCCCTCTTCCCACTCCCCTCGAAACCCCTCCTCATTCGTCTTGTCCCCTTCTCGCTCTCCCGCGTCCCTCCTTTCCCTCCTCCCAGGACCATCACTGTGTGTGGATCAACAACTGTGTGGGCCACGCCAACTACAAGGCCTTCTTCCTCTTCGTGCTCTATGACGTCATTGCTCTCACTCACACCGTGGTAACCACTTCTGCTCACTCACTTTTGCTCTTTCATTTTTTCTCACTCAATTTTGCTCATTCACTCTTTCTCAATCACTTTTGCTCACTCGCACATGCTATTGTAACCACCTCTTTTCTCTCACACATGGTGGTACCCACTCTCCCTCTTCTGATGCACTTAAAAACAACTCTCGTCCTGCTCTCCCAGCCCCCCATCGCCCCCGTACCAGCTTGTCCTTTCCAGACTCTGCTTATTGTCCTCTATGTTTCCTCCACATCCTCATTCTCCACTCTTCACTCCACTCAAATGCCATCCCAACCCAACCCCCACCATCCCCCCCTGCCCCCTTGCCCTCCAGGCTCTTCTCATTGAGCTGCTGACCCCCTCCCCCACCGTTGAGTCCACTCACTCCTTCTGCCTCCACAATTCTAAGAACAACTCTCGTCCTCCTTTCCCAACCCCCACCATCTCCCCCTGCCCCTTTGCCCTCCAGGCACTTCTCATTGCCTTCTTCATCTCCTCCTGGGCTGCTGACCCGCTCCCCCACTCCTCCTCCTCCTTCTCCTCAACAACCCATTTCGACTCCTCGGGAGCAACAGCAGGATCAACAACAGCAGCAGCAGCAGTGGCAGCGGCGGCGGCAGCAGTGGGGCAAGAGGCGTATTCTCAGCCGTCATTGCTGCTTGTACCCTCCCCAGTCACCTGCGCTGTGCTTCGGGTCAGTGACAATGGGCCAAGGTGATTCGATTGAAATGTTATTCTCAGCCAGCAGTGCTGCTCGTACCCTCCCTGCTCACCTGCTCTGTGCTCCGGGTCAGTAGCCCGTCACTCTCTCCTTTTCAAGATCCCCTCTATATCTTTTTGACATGCCTCGGAAGTTTCCTATTTTTTTTGCATTTTATGTCAACTCAGCGTCAGCTTAAAAGACGGGCGCTCGCATTCTGCGTAAAATATTCCCACACACAGCCCGCCTGAGCACCAGGTACTAGCTCCCGACCCTCAAGACTCTATTTTTGAACCTCTCCTCCTTTCCCCAACCATTCCCTTTCCAACCTCACCCTTTTTCCCCACCAGGCGCTGTGTCTGCTGGTGAGTCTACCGCTGCTGATAGCACTGCTGGTGCTGCTCGTGTGGCACTGCTACCTCATTGCCATCAACAAAACCACCATCGAGGTAAGGCCACCAGTCCCCGCAACAATTCCCCATTAACCCCTCGCTTCATCTCCATTCATCTGCTTGTCTCCTCTTCCCTCCACTCATTCCACGCCATGCGGTCAGCACTGCAGGGGCGTGATGGATTTACGAGTGAGCCTAGTTCCAGTGGTGTTCTTTGAGTTGACTCATGGATTGTTTCCGGTTGAATAGAAACACGTATCTCTCTGCTTGTTTCCTCTCTTCCCTGGCGTGCATGCAGCACTACGAAGGTGTGAGGGCGAGACTAGTGAGTCCACGCCCAGTGGTGCCAAGTCAACCACCCCCCTCCCACCCGTACGACCTTGGGATCATCGCCAATCTCTCTGCAGTAAGCCCCCCCACCCATACGAGCCCTTTCAGTTGACTCACAAGTCATCCTCCACCCGTACGACCTTGAAATCAGTTCCAATCTCTTGGCCATGAGCCCTCGTAACCGTAGCCGGTGTGTTTTTTGTCGGCGTGCCAGACAGAGCTGCATATTGCAATCTGCAATCTCACCCTTGCATGTGTGCATCACAAGCTGTGCGTTCCAATTCTCACCGCCCCTTTCACCCTCCTCTCTTCCTCCTTGCAACCGCCATGTTCTAGAACCAGAGGCGCTGTGCTGTGCTGGCTGTGTCCCAACGCACTCTTTTTATGTTGTGTATTCCCTTGCTCAACCCCCCTCCCTTCCTCCCCTTCACTTCCCCATCATCTCCTCCCGCTCTCTTCCTCCACCACTCTTCCTCTTCCCTGCCTCTCCCTCTCCAGATCCTGGGACCAGAGGCGCTGTGCTGGCTGTGTCCCAACGACACTGCAAAGCAGAGTTGCTGGCACGTAAACAGCACACAGTGGAGTCCACTTCTCAAACCCCCCCACTCTTCCCCTTTTCCCACCACCTCCCTCCCCCCCCCCCTCCATCCACGCAGATCCTAGGACCAGAGGCGCTGTGCTGGCTGTGTCCCAACGACACGAGGCACATCTCAGACGGGCTGCATTTCGACACCGCCTACTCCATCTCGCGCCGCTCCAAGCTCTCGCTCAACCACCACACGGGCCACCTAGACCATGTGGACCGCTTATTATGAGTCATTGACTGTCACTGCCTGCTCTGCCTGACTCACTGCCTGCCAGAGTGTCTCTTCGCACAGTCTGCCCTGACTTGTCACTGTATCTGCTCTTCTCTCCTCTCGCCGCTCCGAGCTCCCTCTCAACCACCACGGGCCACCTTGACCATGTGGACCGCCTAATATGCGTGAATCACTCTCACTGTCACTGCCTGCTTCCGATCGGCCGCATGCTCTGTGTGCCTGTCTGCCACAGTGCCTTGTCTCACTCAGTGCACCTGTGTGCATTATGAGATGGGTCTTACTCTCTGTATCTGCCCCTCCATCCTCCTCCTGCGGTTGCTGCCATCACCACTGCGGATGCAGAGGGTGGAGCACAGCACAGTGCAGCATGGCATGCTCTTGCTACGGTAGGTTCTCATCACCAAGAGTACACTACTTGCCTTAATGATTACTAGCTGTTGGGCTGGAAGAAAGACAAAGAATCTTCCTGTCTGGAAGTAAGATTTCTCTATTTAAGTATAAACTGGTTTAAGTGTGTGGTGTAGTGCTGTTATCTACCAGCGGCTTTTGCCATGCACCAGTCCGGCAGCCCAGCCTCCTTTCTCCACGGGTCGTTACACCTCTTGTACAGCAACACCTGCCAGGCACGCACGCACAGGCGCACACAGGGGCACATAGGGGCACACAGCGGCACAAATACACACACAGGGAATGTTTACGTATCGAGTGCACAGGGGAATTTTGGAGGTGCCTCAACAATACCCAGCCTCCTTCTACCACTGGTTGTTACACCGCTTTTACAGAAGCACCTGCGAGGCACGCCACACCACAGTGGCACACAGACACACACAGACACACACAGGCGCACACAGTACTCTTGGTGTGAAGCGCACTGTATTTCAGGCACCTGAACAATCCAGCCCGGGCTCCTGCCCCCTCCCTCCTCCCCACTCCCCGGCCTCTGCCCCTTGCCCCCCATCCCTCACCTGCAACAGAGTAGCCATGGCATCGTCTCCCTCTCATCTCCTCCATTGCATGCATCCACAGCTACAGCCTCCCCCCCCCTTCTTCCCATGGTGTCCCCCCCTTCCACGTTGCTCCCCCTTACCCCCCACCTCCCCCACCATACCTGCAACAGAGTAGCCAAGGCATTGCCCACTCGAATCTCTTCCATTGCATGCGTCCACGACTGCAGTCTCCCCCTGTCCGCTCCCAACCCCCAACAGCACCCTCGCCCCCATCCCCCTCCCCTCATTTCTCCCGTTCCCCCTTCCCTCTTCCCCCTTCTTCCTTCCCCCTCCCAGCTATCTCCCCCACAATACCTGCAGCAGAGTAGCAATGACATCATCCCCTCTCATCTCCTCCAATGCATGCATCCACAGATGCAGCCTCCCCCCTTGCGCTCCCCCAACCTTTAAGGCGCCCTCTCTCCCCTCTCGCTCCCCTCATCTCCCCCCCATTCGCCCCTCCATCTCTCACCCCTCACCATACCTGTAGAAGCGTGGCAATGGCATCGTCCCCCCGCATCTCCTCCATGGCATGCATCCACAGCTGCGGCCTGCCACTGTCCGCTTGCCTCCTGCCTTCCATCCTTGCCACACTCGCATATGCCCACCGCTGCCACACCGACTCCACCCCTGACAACAGCTCCTGCACGCGGTTGGGGGGGATGGCCTGGTGTGCGGGATGGTGACGGGAGGGAAAATGAAGGGAGCGAGGGCGGGTGAGTATGAGAAGACGGGTTGTGCAGAAGGTTAATGTGAGAACCGTGAAAGTGAATGGGGTGGCGAGATAGGCGGAATAGCAAGGAAGGTTGACACCATACACATGCCATCTTTCCTCTCTCATCCATCGCCCCTCTCCCCTCGCCCTTTCTCCACTCGCCCCCACACCCCGCCTTCACCTCTCCCCTCCCCACCACTCCTCCCCTTAACTCACCCGTAGAATGTCCACCAGGTGGGGGATATCATCCTCGGCCACCCTCACAGCAAACTCCGAGCAGTTGAGGAATATCATCCTCGGAAACCCTCTCAAACCCCATCCACACGCCATTCCCCCACCCCCCTCGTTCCTGTGCCTCACCTCTCCCCTCCCAGTTCTCACCCGTAGAATGTCGACCAGGTGAAGGATATCATCCTGGGCCACACGAACACCCCAGCCTCTCCCCCCTCCCATTACCCCTCGCTCACCCGTAGAATGTCCACCAGGTGGGGGATATCATCCTCAGCCATCCTCACGGCAAACTCCGAGTAGTTGAGGTGGCGCTCAAACGCCATCCAAATGCCGTCCTGCACGATGACAGGGATGCACCCGTGCAGCATCGCATCCTCCATGCGCGCACTGAAGCCGTCCCCTGGGAACACCCCGCAGAAGCGGGAGGAAGAGAGCTGCGGGAGGTTAAGGGGGGGGGGTTGGGGGGAGGGGGAGTGAGGGGCGTAAGGCGGAAGAAGGGGAGAAATTGCCACCAGAAAGTCTTTTTTCCATGTGACAACCCCCCACACGCCGTCCTGCACGATGACAGGGATGCACCCGTGCAGCATCGCGTCCTCCATGCGCGCACTGAAGCCGTCGCCTGGGAACACCCCGCAGAAGCGGGAGGAAGAGAGCTGAGTGCACACAGGGGGGGGAGGAGGAGGGGGGAGGACGTTGGGGGAGGGCGGGGGAAGGGTGTGGGGAAAAAGTTTGCATCAGAAAGACCCGTTCGTGTGAATCTCTCCCCCCCAAACCCTGTCCCGCACGATAATAGGGATGCACCCGTGCAGCATAGCATCCTCCATGCGCACACTGAAGCCATATCCCCACCTCCATCCCCATCCCCCCCTAATCCCCCTCCCTCCTCCTTTCCCCTCACCTGCTTGCCATACTACTCCACGGCTCAACACATTCTCCTGCTGTTGCCACCCCAGCTTGACCTCCTTGTTGTGCCGTAATGCCAACAAACCCACCCAAACTCGTTATCACCTTTCCCCATTCCACCGCAATGATCTCTTCCCTCCCCTCTTCGCCCTCACCTGCTTGCCATACTCCCCAGAGAACTTGTTGGTAACCACAACGTCCTCCTGGTGCTGCCGCCCCAGCTGGCCCTCCTTGTTGGGAGACGACGCGAATTCCTCTGCCACCTTCTGCCTGATGCCCATGCTGTACCTGCGCCCATGGGGGAGTGGTGATGGGAGGGTGAGGGTAGGGGGGAGGGTGAGTAGGGGTGTGGGGTTTGGTCTAGCGGTGGCGAATGGGGTAGGGCCGCATTCAATATTGGAGTACAACACGTCGAAAAGAGAAAAGAAGCCAAGCCAGAACGAGCAAAGGAGCAACTTGAGATGGATCTGGATGGAGTGGGATAGATCTCAACTTGGGCTCCACGCGTCCGTGCTCGAACGCACTGCCGAGGTTGCCATTGAAATAGAAGAGCGTGGGTCGGGTCTCCAGTGTGCTGCACGCACAGCACGGCATGCAAGCAAGCAAGCAAGCACGGCACAGCAAAGGGTAAGCGTGGGGAGACGGCGGTGGGGAGGAAGCGCTGGAAATTCTTGTTCAAGTAGGAGAAAGAGGAGCGGGTCTCCTCTCCAGTGTGCTGCACGCACAGCACAGCACAGCACAGCACAGCACAGCATGTGGAAAAGAATCGCAGAGCCACAACGCACGCACACATGAATGGCACAAGGCATGCATGAGGAGAGGGGGGGGAGGGAGATTGCGGGATTGCAGTTGAAGTAAAAGGGCGTGGGTCAGGTCTCCAGTGTGCTGCACGCACAGCACAACGCATGTGAGGAAGTGGTGATAACAGGAAGCCCGACTGACAGACTGACAGACGGAAAGGGAAACCTTCACAAGGCAATGATGGAGCTCACAATGATCAAAACACCATTCGCTGATGCATCATGCACCATGGCCCACACCACACCAGAACAACACCACAGGCACGAGCACAAACAAACCCACGTACGGAGATTTGATCTTCTGTGCCAGCGCCCACACGCCAGGAACTTTCCAAGCCGGCATCACCACATCCTTGTCCGGATCAAAGCACGGGTGGTCTCCCCTCACGCTCTCCTCCATTACACTCCAATCATCGTGGTAATACGCGGTCGTACACCCCTTGTGCGTGGTGCCTGTATTCCCCCAATGTGCCAGCATGATGCTGCTCCAGATGGCCTGGGGGGCATAGCACGCGCCTTCATCCCATGCGAACATCCAAATGTGGTCCTTGCCTCCGTGCCGGTCCCAGAAGGGGTGGTGCGTGCGGATATGGGCGAGGGCACGGAGGTAGAAGTCTGCTACTAGGTTGGGCCGCCGCGCCCTGAATTGACCCTGAGAGGGGGGAGGAGAACGAAGGCAGGTGGAACGGGGTGGGAAAACGTGGGAGGGTGTGAGCAAAGATGGAGGGGATGGGGCGAGAAACGATAGAAGGGAGGGAATGAGAAAAGAGGGGGTTGAGGAAAGAAGTGGTGGGTGCGAAAGTTGGCAAGTGCACAGAAGTAGAAGTCCACCTTCCCCCTTTCCCTTTCCCCTTCCCCCTCCCCTTCCTTCCCCCTTCCCCATCCCTTTTCCCCTTTCCCCCCCTCCCATCTCCCGCTTAGTAAGCCACCATGCCTCCATGCGGAATCGGGGCGAGTCGTCAGCGCGGGCGATGATGCAGGCGCCCAGGAGGGGCACGTAGAAGAAATCCGCACTGTCGCCGTCCAGCGTGCGGTGGGGGCTGCCCAGAAACCCCTCAAACACCGCTGTCTGGGGGGAAGGGGGTTTGGGGATGGGGGGAAAGAGGGGAAGAGTAGGAGAGGAGAGGAGAGGGAAGGGGAATGCAAAGGAGAGGAAAGGTTGGGCGATAAGGGTGGGGAGGAGAAATGAGAGGTGGGTGGAGTTGGGGAAGGAGATGGGGGGAGAGCGAGATGGGGATGTGCATTGTGTGCAGTGCAGACCTGCAGTCCATAGAGCCATCTGCCATCTGTCATTGAGTTGAGCGTTCTCATGGCTCATTTGTGCATTGTATGCCCCCAGCTCTAAAGTGTGGGTGTCTGTGCAGCATGGCATGGAGCAGAAAGAGCCTCCAGAGTGGCAGGGAGGTCGATGGAGAGGGGGGCGAGAAGGAGGATGGGGGGATGAGGGAGGGGGCGCACCTCTAGTCCATAGAGCCATCCGTCGTTGAACAGTGTGTCATTCTCATGGCTGTATGCGCGCGGCCCACAGTAGCTCTTCCACTGCCGCGCCTGGTGTGTGCCATGCCGTGCCATCCCACCCATGTCATACCCACCATCCCATGCCATGCCATGCCATGCCAGGCCATAAGACCATGCCACCAAACAGAGAGAGTGTGCAGTGGGAATGAGCACGTGATGTGGGAAAGATCACACTAAGTATTCGTAATGGGCGGATACACACGAAAACCCGGGTCAGCGAAAGGGTACTGGTAATAAGCCCCTCACCACAAAACGACAACCGCACCGCACCGCACGGCACTCACCTCTAGATTGTGGAAGGTGAACTCTGCTGGCAGGTCATATACATAGATGAGGGGTCGGGTCCGGTTCACCATGGTCCAAATCTCTGCCACACGTGTGCTCTCCTCTTCTGCTGCTGCCGCTCCTCCTACTACTACCCCTCCTCCTGCTGCTGCTGCTGCAGGAGCTGCTGCTGCTGCACCTTCAATACTACTGTTGGTGCTGCTGTTGCTGCTGCTGACACCGCTTGCCTCATCCACACTAGATGAGCCAAGGGAATCAGGGCCAGAGCCAGGGGTCTGATCAGGGTAATCGGAGGAGGAATCGGAGTCGGGTTGGTGGGGCAGGGGTATGCGCAGCCACTCGGGGGGGTAGAGGTTGGGAGGTGAGCGCACGGAGGGGATGCTGCAGTCAATGCCGTAGCGATCACCCTCGCACTGCCAGCACGGTGGGAGTGGAGGGGTGGGGGATTGGAAAGTTGGAGGGGGAAAGAGAGAGGGGTTGCGTGGAAGAGGTTTGTGAGAGTGGCTACATGAGTGTACAGAGCGAATTCTGCAGTCAATGCCATAGTGGTTGCCCTCGCATCGCACTGACAGTAGATTGAAGGTAACTGAGTGGGGGATGGGGGAGACGGGAGAGAGTGAAAAAGACGAGTGGGAGAGAGGAGAATGGGATTCTCGAGCAGGGAGCATGGGGGAGGGAGAGTGGGAAAACGGATGGCAGTACCCATGTTCACTTGACACCATCCCCCACCACTCATTCTCACCAACAACCACTCATCAACACCCGTTCTCACCTCACACCACCCCCCAGCACCCATTCTCACCGCGCAGTACCCCATGATGCACGTGCCGGCGCGCGAGCACTGGTTGATGCAGAAGCTCTCGACCGTCGTCTCACACAGACGCCCTATCTGCCCGTCATAGTTGCAAAAACACTCAGCCGCTGCTATCTGCGTGGGGTGCGCTTCACACCATGCTACACGCCTATCATTGATGGCATTGCTGCCACTGCTGCTGGTGCTGCTGTTGCCCCCGTCACTGTTGCTGTCGCTGGTGCTGCCACCGCTGCTGCCGTCGCTGCTGTCGTCATTGCTGGTGGTGGTGGCGATGGCTTGGGGTCCGTAAATGGGGGTAACGTCCGGTTTGTGGTAAAGAATGATACCACTGGTGCGGAGGTGGGAGGAACCGGGGGGGCGGAGGAGGGAGAGAGAGGGGGGAACGGGGGAGGGGAAAGAGAGGGGAGGAGGGGGGAAGGAGGGGGGGATGAAGGGCAAACGAGGGACGAAAGAGAGAATGGGAATGGGCAGCTGGTGGTGTTGGGTGGGTCCGCAATGGCGCATGGCAAATGGAACGAGCATGAGAACCAACCAAGCAAGGAAAAGGCCAGCACAGCTGGAAGCTTACTCAGGGGCCTTGGGGAAACCGCAAGGCGCGACGACAGGGCGGTCAGGGTAGCTGGTGTTGGGCCCGCATCGGCACTGGGAGCGGCGTAGGTCACAGTGGCCAGCACATATGGACACTATCCAAGGCCCCAGGGGGAACTCAGGGGTTGCCGGCAGGTTGCAGGGGTAGTCCTCCTCCTGAGAGCAGTCGGGGCCTGGGGGAGGGGCGTTGGGGAGGAGAATTCTCTTGTCTTGAGAATGGGTTCGGCTGTTGCAGGAATAGTTCTCCGATTGAGAGCAGTCAGGTCAGGGCTTGAGTTGAGACCTCAGTACCAACTCTTCAAGCCCTCACACAGTTCCTCAACAGCCTTCTTTCTTCACTCCCCAAACAACGCCCATGGCGACAACACCTGTATTCCCTGGCCACATGCATACAACCTGCACTTCCTAGCCTTCCCCCATGTACTGGTACCCATGGCAACTCCCACACACTCCCCAGTGCGCCTACTCCGCATCGCACACACCGATGCTGAAAGAGGAAAAAACAATACCATATTCAAGAGAAGGTACTGATACCATCTTCCTCCCCGGACTACTTTACCTTCACAGCCCCTGCATGCTCACCAGTGTACCCGTGGCGGCACCTGCACTCCCCAAACTCTGCATTGCACATGCCATTGCCGCTGCAGTCCCCAGGGCACGTGCGACCAAAGGCAGGCTGCATGCACGAGAGATGGACCCGAAAGCACGACGCGCACGGCACAAGGCACAAGACAGGGAAGTGGGGTGAGGAAAAAAGGTCGGGATGGGAAGGTGGGAGAGTGGGGGGGTTGGTCAAGGAAGTTACTCAGTTCCAAGTTGCTGCAGTCTTGCAGGAGAAGAGGGAGGAGAGAGAGAGAAGTGGAGAAAGTCTCACACTCGCTCCTCACCTAGCCTCCTGCTGGCCTGGCAGCACTGGAAGACTGTTTGCACAGCAAACAGCAGCTTCAGGGAACTTCTCAGAGGATATAATATCTGCGAATGATTATGGCACATCCCACACTCATCTCATGGTTACCAGACGCATTTCATGGTTACCACGTGGTTGCCGCACTCACCTCGTGAACAGTGACAGTCAACGCACTGGGCGGCACGCTCTTCAACCATGATCCCACGTGGCCTTGCCACGGCGCTCCTCTGTGCCACACGGTGCCACGTGGGGTAGATGACGTGGCAGCTGCACCGTCAGCACCCCATGCTGTCCCAATAGCTGCGGCGGCATCAACAACTGATGCTCCATCCGTTAATTCTCCTTGGCCTAGTGCAACACACACACACACACACACACACACACACACACACACACACACACACACACACACACACACACACACACACACAGAGCCACCCCCCCTCCTCCCCCCCCCCCCCACACACACAAACAAACACGCACGCACGCACGCACACACACAAATTGGGCAAATTAGCCTTAGGAAAGGTGTGCCAGAGGTAAGTTGATAGGGATAAATGACTGATATCCGTTAGGCCAACAAATCAGTCACCTTGTGGCACGACAACGACACGCATGTTTACCAGCGAACTGAGTAAAGTGGCGAAATAAAAAAGGAAATAATAAAATTTACGAAATACAGTATATATACCAGGCCGATCGTTCGAATCGTTGTTGGGTTGTGCCACGTCAGCGTCGGGCGGAGAGAGGTAGAGGAGAATCTGTTGCGCAGTGGCGATCAGGGCGAGGAAAACAACAACCACGCCCACCACACGCGCCACCCGCTGCAACCGGCCGTTATTCCCACCATCATTAAACGATGACGAGTGATAATACGCCCGTGTTCCTACAACGAAGCCTCCCGAACCAGACCTGGCCAGCTGGTCACCCGAACCAGAAGCCGACGCTCGGATGTGGATCGACCGTCGAGCGGAGGTCGGGATGGGGTGAGACGAAGTCGCCATGACGCTAGAGCTATTCAAAGAATCCAATTCATGGAAGAATGGGTGGAGTCCGGTCCAGAGGTGTCCAGAGAGGTCACGTCAGTGACAGCAAAGAGACGAGGCAGAAAATGGAACGAAAGCAGTTTCACGTTGAATATAACGCCTTTCTCTCGCGATTCATGATTCAAGGCGACGAGCATGGACCACGGATTCCATCGAGCCTTTGAATCCTTTAAATTCGGAGATAGATGTGAGAATCTGTCTAAAATTTGTGATCAACGGGGCAAGCCTTGCGACTGAGGAGGACTGCTCGCTGATGTCAGCAGGCATTCGGCCACGTGACAGCACCACCGAGCACGCTGACGCCAACTGGACACGCATGAATCCTGCTGCTGCTCATACGGCGAGCGAGCAGGATGATAAGGCGAGGAGGAGTAATAAGGCGAGAAGACATGCAGCGATGCAACGCCTGATCTGGTTTTGTCTGACGGAAATTGGAACAGCATCTGCCGAACTGAAGAACTCCCTCCCCAGGCCAGATTAAGCAACTAAATCCGCGGTATTGACTGGTGCAGCAGTTTGAACGTTCCAAACCTATGAGTGGGCATCTGAAATATAAAACCTTCGTCAAAATCACTGAAACAATCATTTGTGCAAGCCCCATTTGAGAGTGAAACGAGTAGAGCATTTTTCACATTACGGTACTAGGTTATTTATACATAAACTCTGAGGATTGCTACCGTCGGAGATATAAGCTCATACGGGCTTGTAATAAGACTGGGAAAGTTATGCGTATGCTTGATATTAGGGTACATTCCGCTGTAGATTTATGTCTCAATCGATGTGTCACAATCGATTGAAACGCGTACGTACAGCATATGTTGCCAGGTGTCGGAATGCCGTGGCGCTCGTGGTTGTCGCGCAGTGTATTTATCATTGTGTGGCGTGGTTTACAGAACTGTCGCCAGCTAATTACAACACATCTAACCATTCGCACGCGGTGCCAAATGTCATCTCATGCATCCTGTATCTAGACTACATTTTGTGCGGCCCTCTATCCACACCAACGCGTTCACGGCCTTGCGATTGGTCGAAACGAACCATACGGAATTATTGACATTGACGCGCACTCACCCGCCATTCCGCCTTCCCCCCTCCCCAAGCACCTCCTCCTCAACCCCTCCGCCTCCCAACCCCCTTCAATGTCAAGGTTATGCCAGGCTTTTTGAAGCTCCACTCTGTCTTCTTCTCCCGCCAATTCTTCCTCTAGATCTAGATCTAGAAGTGAACAAGCCGCAAGTATGGCTCGTAAGCGTAAGGGGCAGGCCCTTAACGACTGCCCCAAGGACTTAAACGAGATACCGTACATCCGCTGGATGAACCAGCAGATCGCCAACGGTCGCCACCCCAGGGGATTATCCGCGCCGCCCGTTCTTGACGGCCAGGGGTCATGTGCACAGTCGCCCACCGCCGCGCCGTCACGTGTGCGCCGTCTGTCAGAGGTCCACTGGTGATCCCCGATTGATCCTAGGGAAGGGTTACAGGCATGGCGGCCTGGGGGGTTATGGGCGCACTCACCCGCTACACAAACAAGCCCTTCTATCCCAGTGGTTAGTGGCTGGGATTCTGACATGTTATCAGAGCGAAGGTCTCGGGTTCGAATCCCGGTGTGTGCACCTCGGGCATCCCAGTGCGGGGGGGTGTCAGAGGTCCACTGGTGATCCCCGATTGATCCTAGGGAAGGGTTACAGGCATGGCGGCCTGGGGGGTTATGGGCGCACTCACCCGCTACACAAACAAGCCCTTCTATCCCAGTGGTTAGTGGCTGGGATTCTGACACCGTCAGCCTGCACGGGCTGCAGCAACGCACCGGCCAGTCGTGGAGGAAGTCGTCGCCGACGCTGACGAAGACGAGGACGACGACGACGTTGCCTCCGACGACGAAGAGGAGGAGCCTGAGGACGCCGGAATATCGCCCAGCGACGACGACGACGAAGACGACGAGGATGCCGAGGATGACGCCCCGGAAGAAGCACAGCCAGTCACCCCGCCGCCGAAACGGAGCACCGCACGCAAGGCAGCGTCAGAGAAGGGCAAAGGCAAGGCGGCGCAACACACGGCACGCCCAGAACCAAGGAAGAAACGGGCGGCCGCACCGGTCGAGCGCGGCTTATGGTCCGACAAGGAGAGCACCATTTTCGCCGCGGCGAAATGTCAAACATATATGCTGCTTATTGTGTAGGCTGTAGTGGGGTAGCCCATATGGGGTACAACCCAAATTAGGGTTTACTACTTGTACTCCTGCATCCTGCTAGTTCAATCATTCCTGCTGCTAGATTCTAACATGGTTTCAGAGCACTAAGGTCCGTAGGACCGTTTTTTTTTCGGGCCCACCTACCGCTGCGGTTACCGCGCTACCCCACGTACCTGCCTGCCTTGCCTTGCCTTGTGACGTGCTGCACTACGCGCGCCGTCCAGCAGCCCTAGCGCTGCCTCCTGCTGCCCTAGGCCAGCGCGCTGCTTCTAGAGGCCCGTAAGGCCCGCGCGCCGCCCCTACACGCCCTTCAGGCCCGCGAACAGCCCCTGCAGACCGTTAGGCCCGCTGCTGCCGCGCGCTGCCCGCACCGAGCCCGCGCAGCCCGCACCGAGCCGCGCGCAGCCCGCTGCAGCCGCGCGCAGCCCGCACCGAGCCCGCGCAGCCCGCTGCAGCCGCGCGCAGCCCGCACCGAGCCGCGCGCAGCCCGCTGCAGCCGCGCGCAGCCCGCACCGAGCCGCGCGCAGCCCGCTGCTGCCGCGCGCAGCCCGCTGCTGCCGCGCGCAGCCCGCGCCGAGCCCACGCAGCCCGCGTCGAGCCGCGCGCGGCCTGCTACGGCCTCGCGAGGCCCGCGCGCGGCCCGCAGCAGCCCGCGCCGAGCCGCGCGCGGCCCGCTACTGCCTAGCGCGGCCGCGCGCGGCCTGCAGCAGCCCAGCGCGCTGTCAGCGCAGCCCGCGCCGAGCCGCGCGCGGCCCTCTGCCATGGCCCCGACCTGCCGCTGATGCGGCCCCGCCCTGCAGCTGCCATCTGCCGCTGATGCGGCCCCGCCCTACAGCTGCCGCGACCCCGACCTGCCGCTGACGCGGCCCCACCCTGCGACTGCCGCTGAAGCGGTCCCGCCCTGCAGCTGCCGCGGCCCTACTCTGCAGCCGTTGTTGCGGCCCCGACGTCGCCGCTGTCGTGCGCCTACTCGGCCGCCGCCCGTCGAGCGCCGACCCTGCTCGCCCGGCGAGCGCCTGCTCTTCCAGCCTTTGGTGAGCACCTGCCTGCCTGCCTGCCTGCAGGCCTGCCTGTCTGCCTGCCTGCCTGCCTGCCTGCCGGCCTGCCTGCCTGCCTGCCTGCCTGCCTGCCTGCCGGCCTGCCTGTCTGCCTGCCTGCCTGCCTGCCTGTCTGCCTGCCTGCCTGCTTGCCTGCCGGCCTGCCTGCCTGCCTGCTTGCCTGCCTGCCCGTCTGCCTGCCGGCCTGTCTCCCTGCCTGCCTGCCTGCCTGCCTGCCGGCCTGTCTGCCTGCCTGCCTGCCTGCCGGCTTGTCTGCCTGCCTGCCTGCCTGCCTGCCTGCCTGTCGGCCTGCCTGCCTGCCTGCTTGCCTGCCTGCCTGCCGCGCCTGCCCTGCCCGCGCTACTGCTACTACTCCTGCTATTAGCAGGTGGCCAGATGCAGCTCCAGCGTCGTTCCTGTGCGTCCCTCACGCCCCAGCAGCTTGATGAGTGGTATAGGGTTTGGGGCTGTCGAGGTAGCCGTCGTAGCAGTCGCCCTGGAGCTGGTCAGTTGGGGGCAGTGGCCAGCTGCAGCTGCAGGGGCGTCCTCGCGAGACACTTACGCCCCGGCAGCTCCAGGAGTGGTACACTCAGTGTAGCAGGTCTACGCGTACCGTTCGCTGCCCGTACGTCATTCGCACAGGTGTTAGGACTGGTCAGCCTTGCGGGACGCTTGGTCACACACAGTCCCGCTGCTTCGCCCGTCTGAGCGACGCCTGGCGTACCGTGTTTGGAGACGAGGCTGAGCTCCCTGCCTGGCCAGAGCTGCTTGGACAGAGGGTAGATATCTTTGCACTTGACTATGATGCTATTCTCACTGCCATGTATGCATTGCCTACTAGTGTTGACCGTGCCTGTTACCTGTGCGTCCCGCCTGACCCTGGTATAGCGCCTGCTGCTCTCGGTACTGGTAAGGCTGCTGGGTGCTCGTGCGTCTCCTGCTCTAGGTGCTGGTGAGACTGCTGCTCTAGGTGCTGGTGAGTTTGCTCTTTCTGGTACTGCACCACACTCACGCCGCTCAGTCGGCCAGTTCCGGTCTCCCTGGCGGACCCCTCTGGGGGTCCAGTCCTTGCCCACTACTCCACGGTTCTGCCGTGTCCGGCCGTCCCGTCTGGCTTCCTGTCAGGTCTTTACCTCCCCTCGTTCTCTACGAACTTGGTGAGTGGAGCTGACCTCCAGGATGGGGGGGTTGACCAGTTCACTCCTGCGAGTCAGCGAGTGACTCACTGTACGTGTGCTCGGACGGGCCGACACTTGGCCACGTTCACCCGTGCACCTGGCTCGAGTCTGTACACACTGACCACTGAGTCCCCTCAGGTAGCTGCGTCTGCGTCTACGTCTGGTCAGCTGGCAGCCCCCTGCGAGTGTCGCGCTTTGTCGCATGACACTCTCCTGTGGCACCACCGCCTTGGTCACCCCTCCCTGCCTCGCCTTCGTGGCATGCACTCTCGTTCCCTGGTTTCTGGTCTTCCCAGGTCTCTGCCTGCTCTCCCTCCCTCGCCTGCGCCGCCCTGCATTCCTTGCGTCGAGGGGCGGCAGCGCGCCGCTCCTCACTCCTCCTCGTTCCCTCCCACAGAGGCTCCCCTGCAGACTCTCCACCTGGACGTGTGGGGCCCAGCCCGCGTCCGTGGACTGGGCCACGAGCGGTACTTCCTGCTGGTTGTCGACGACTACACGTGCTACACCACGGTCTTCCCCTTGCAGAGCAAGGGGGACGTCCCTGCTGTTTTG